GGTTAACACAGCAGCTGCCTAAAAAGCAGCATTGAGCATCAGCTCTCATGGGCTGCAGTGATCTGGAACTGTGGTTTGTCCTGGGCAGTGAGTAATTATTTTCTGGCTCAGTTCTGCATAGAAAGAAGAGCTTCCAATTTCAGAAGTGAAACACAGGGTGGGAGGAGGAAGAGAAGCAGAGATTACAGCACACGCAAAATAAATTTCATCTTATGGCCCAGAAAGCAAAGAAACAGACATTTGCAGAAAGGCTAAAAGTCAAAATGTCAGAAGCTTTGCTAAATCCACTGTATTGAGGTTTTTAAGTGCATGCTTTTAATGCTGCATTGACTGTTTATCAGGTCAGCAGGGCAAAGATGGCACTGGGAGACGAGGGGGTGAAATTAGAGCCATTCCTCATAGTACATGAGATTTACCCACCAGTGAATCAGAAACATAAATGCAAAATAGACAAACAAATGGCCCACAGCAGAGCATGAAGTAAACACGAGTGAATTCCTGTGTGACCTAGGTCTCAGAAATGACTTTTAACATGGAATGCAAAACTCAGACACAGTAGCAAACAAATATGGTAAATTGAATGACATAAAATTATTAAATAAATGAATCTTTGCACAGAGCACACACATATGTACAAGAAAAATCAAAACACAAAGCTCAGCACCCATAGTTCAGTGGTTAAGGTGCCGGCCACATACACCAAGGCTAGCAGGTTCAAACTTATTCTGGGCCTGCTAAACAACGACAACTGCAACAGAAAAATAGCTGGGAGTTGTGACAGGCACCTGTAGTCCCAGTTACTTGGGAAGCTGAGGCAAGAGAATCGCTTAAGTCCAAGAGTTTGAGGTTGCTGTGAGCTGTGACACCGTAACACTCTACTGAGGGCGACATCATGAGACTTTGTCTCAAAAAAAAAAGAAAGAAAAGAAAATCAAGATACAAGAGAAAACAGAGAAAAACTCTATCAAGTAAATCAAAGATTCATATGTATACATGTATATGCACATAAAAAAGTAAAATAGAGAAGTGGAAAATGGTATGAACAAAACAAATCAGAGAAGATAAAAATGGCACTTTCACATATGTGATTCTGTTTGGGTTTACTTATATAAAAACAGAAGGACACTGACATGCAATTTTGCCAACTTGGGAAAAACCAGAAGCTTTCCAATTCACCGCTTTTAGAAAGTCTGTGAAAAAAACCAAATATGCTCTTATATTGTTGGTAGAAATGCAAATTTACAAATCCATCTTAAGGGGAAGCGTCAATGTCTACCGTGGGCCACGAGTCCATTTACTTCAAGGAGAAGGCACATCCCCAAACAAATGAAAATATATATTTAAAGGTTATTAATTGAAACATTATTTGTACTTGTGACTATCAAGAATGGAAAGATCACCTACATATCTGTCTAACAAGGGTACAAGTGAACTTTTCTAGAACTAGAATATAAATGTTTTGACATAATGACTATGAAAATGATATGAAATTTATGTGAACCAGCTT